AGAATATTGAGAAATCAGAAATATTAAAATAATTGAATTAATAATTTCAATGAATGAATAATAAATACATAAAGTATTAATTAAATAAAGAAATAAAAATTGACATTGACATCAGTAAAGAAAATAAAAACAATGTAATAAAAAACATGATTAATGTCATTAAACATTGTTTTTTACCACAACCAAACATACTCAGTAAAGCCGCTTGAAGAAGACAGATATACTTGATCGTTCTGGAATGAATAAGGAACAATTGAAACAATTATCTCAATACTTAATTAATTAATTTTATTTTCTGTTGTTTTATTCATTTAAATGGAACTTAATATGAATAAATGAAGATATTATAAAAATAAAATATACTTTTAATTCCTCAATTTTATATTAAAAAAAAGAAAAAAAAACTCATAATGTTTAATTCAAATGGAAATTACGTCGTTACTTGATGAAATGAATAAAGTAGGAGATTCTACTATTGGTGCTCTTAAAGAAGACAAAAAAAATGTACCAATTTTAAGTACAGAAGAAGCAAGAAAAAAGTCTATTGATTTAAAAGAACAAAAAGAAAAAAAACAAAACGAAGAAAATAGAGAAAAGAAAAGTTCACATACAAAAAAACCCATTAAAAAATTATTAAAGTCATCATCTTCTAAAGAAGAAAATGACAATAAAAGTAAAAAACCAAAATCAACTTCTTCAGATACAAAAGATGAAAAGAAAAAAACGATTAAAAAGAAAGTAACGAAAGAGGAAAAAGAAGAAAAAGAGAAAAAACGTAAAGACATGAAGAAAGAAAAGAAAATTACAACAAAAAGCAAAAAAGAAAAGAAAGAGAAAACTGAAGAAAATGAAGATGAGAATGAAGATGAAAAAAAAGAGTTAAAAAGAAAAAGAACCACAAAAGTTGAAAGTAGTGAAAAAAGCCATGAAGAAAAAAAACCAAGAAAAAGTGATAAACGAACTAAAATTATATTATCAGGATTTGATGTTGAACATGATCCATTTGTTGAAGAAATTAAAACCTCTCCATTTTTCAGTGTTCAAAAAACTATGGATGACATTAAACTTGTTTTTGTTCATAAGTCAATGAGAACAGAAAAAGTATTAGATGCCATTGTTAAAGGAATTCCAGTTGTAAACGAACAATATTTAGAAGAATGTGAAAAAGAAAATAGAGAAGTTGAAATTGATCCATATTTATTAACTGAAGCTTTTCCTGGTCTTTTAGTCACAAGCCAAGAAAGAAAAAATTTATTTAAAGAATTATCTATTTGTATTTGTGGACAACCAAAAATTCTTGCCACTACACTAAGTGCATGGATTGAACGACTTGGTGGTAAAATTACTATTAGACCAAAAGATGCAGACGTAATAATATGTGGACAGTTAAAACATCATTTAACTCTAAGAGAAAAAAAGAATGATAACGTTCAAATAGTGGCAGAAAAATGGTTATATGACTCAATTGGTTCAATGAAAGTAATGGACTATAAAACTTATAAAATTGATGTTGAAGCAATTCAACCTGAAAATGATGAATAAGTTCAGATAGATTGAAAAAAAAAAACAAGACGATTAAAAACAATCACGAATATAATAAATTTTTTAAATTAAATTGTTATAATTTTTTGATTTTGAGCTTTGAAATAACAATGATTTTTGAAATTAGAACGAATAGTTTGTAATGTTGACTTTTCAATCTTTTCTTTCAGTAAAGAAGTGATAAAAGAATCAGATAATTTATTTGAAACAGTTTCTATTAATGCATAAGCTTCATCAGCAGAGGTAGCTTTCATTAAATCACCTGAAATAATAAATATAATTAATTAATAACACAAAAATAATAAAAATAAAAAGAAACAAACTTTTTAAGTACTTCAAATAATTAATAGCGATAATATATAAAACATCTTTTCCTTCATACAAATAATAGTCCCAGATACGTATAACTAACCTAACAGGAAAAACGTCAATAAATAGGTCAGCAAACCAAGTAATAAAATAATTAAGTTCAAATCCGATTGAACTTAATTTATCATATAATATAGCTATTTCTATTTTAAATAAACGAGGAAAAATAAATAAAGCCTCTGGCATTTCAATATCTAAGAAATTACCAATAGAATATTTATCACTTCTTAATTGCCTTAACAATGAAAATGCTACATCCTCACCAACAACACACAATAACAACCCACCAATTTTACAGAGTGATGGTGTTACTACACTTTCTATTTTTTTATTTCTTTCTTCATCACTTACTTCTATTGATTCATCTCCAATAGTCTCATCATATAAATAAGAAACAACCAATCTTTCTAATTTATATTTTCCTCTTCCTTCAATAAATACTCTATGGTCATTAAAAATATTAAGATTCATTCGAATTTCTTTTAATATTTCTGGACTAATTCGTTTACTTCCTTCTGAAAATGATTTTAAATATTCTTCATGTACAGCTTTTGTTGATGTAGCATGAGTAAAACATTCCCACATTCTTGCTCGAACATTTGGGTTTAATACACTCAAGTGTTTTTTAACCCATTTTTGTTCTTTAGTAGTTGCATTTTTCCATTGTCCAACAATAACAGACCATTTTACATTATCTGAATGTCTTTCTTTACGTGGTGATTGATCAGGATATGACACTTCAAAATTAAATGCATCATATGTATGTGTTTCATCAGTTTCTGGTTCTTCTTCAATATTTAATAACTGTGCTTTTGCAAAATGTTTTAATTTTTCTGCGTAATCATATGGAGTCATTCCATTATTATCAATAGAAACAATAGATGCTCCATTTTGAATAAGATATTTTACTACGCTTGGTTCTGCGCATGTTGTTGCTGCTGCTACATGAAGTGGTGTTTTACCTTCGTTATCAATTGCATTTATATTAATACTAGCATTTTCTGAAATATTTTTATTTTCTTTTCTCATTGAATTTTCAACTATCATTTCAACTAAAATTAAATTATTGGTTCGTGATGCTAAATGTAACGGCGTTTCTCCTTTTTCATTTTTTGCTCCACAAATACATCCTGCCGTTATAATCGCATGACATAAATCAATTACTTCGTACGAATGAAGAGACAATATGATATGTAATAAAAGTGGCTCTTTTATTAAGTCTCTATTTTTTTGTAATAACGTCCTCACAGTTTTAAGGTCACCTTTCTCTACTGCATTTTTCAATAGAGTGGTTTTTGGCTCCATTATTTTTATTCTCTTTTTTCTTGTTTTTTTCTCTTTTTCCTTTTTTTAGTTTTTTATTTGTTGTATAAACAAGTTTTTCTTATAAAGATTATAAATTATTCTTCTGTTTGAAATCTGAGATATATCTCAATAATTGTCGTTTCATTTCTTCATTAATACCATCGTTTTCTACCAATAATTGAATTTCTTTTTCAGGATCATCAATTCCACATTCAACCCATTTCTCACTTTCTTCTCCTTTAATTAATACTTTAAGTATTAATTTCTCACTAATAATTTCATTTGGAATTGTTTGAACAGTAGTTGCATTATATTTTGCTTGTAATGAACTTAATTGATGACGAGCATTTTTGAGCATCATTTCTAAAGTATCAATTTGACTTTTAACTGAGTCAATTTGGGTTTTTAATTCTTCTTTATTCACTTGTTCATGACTCATTAATAACAAATAACAATTTTAAAGATGGTCTTAATAATGAGATGAAACGAAAAAGAAAACAAAAAGAAACTACACACATGACCTTTGCGTTAGAAAATAACACAACAAGAACAACAAGAATTTGACCTTCTTGACTGGATTTCATCTGGGTTGATTGCGGTTCCACCTCCAACAATAGGACGGTTATTATTTATTTCCATTCTTCTTGTTGGTCTCCAAGGTGGTGGTTCTATATACTCTTCTCCAGTTTCTTCACAAGTCTTTCGTTTAAGAATTCTTCTATATGTATCAGCACTTTCACAGTCATATTTAACACAATATGTTGGTGGATCAAAAGGATGAATCTCAAAATATTCTTTTGCTCTTTTATTTCCTCCAAGCTTCATCATTACTAATTGTTGTGGTTTAAAATTATCTAATGTTAATGATCTGACAAATGAAATATGAACACCATATGACCTATGAATACCAGCACAATTCATACACAAATAAACTCCATTATTTAAAGAACACCAGGTGGGGTTATTTTTACCACAATCAAAACATTTCTATCAATAAGTATTTTTCATTAAAGATAAACTATTTTCCAAACTTGATTTTCTGGTTCTTCCATTTCTTTAGAGAAAAAAGAAGTTTGGTCAATTGGTTGTTGTGACATATTGACTGAAATTTTTTTAGTATTTTCTTTTTTAAAATAACACGTTATTTTTATTTTTTGTTATTTAAACTATTTTTTATTAATTAAAATGAATAGTTTAATTATGATTAATATACAAAAAACAAAAAAAGGGTTTACAATAGATCAAAGTAAAATCAGACCATGCCACCCAAGGACGCTAAGGGAAAAGGAGCTGCTGCAGGAAAGAAAGGTGCTTTAACTAAACCAAAAAAATCATCAGGAGGAAAAGCTCCAAAGAAATCATGGTCAAAGACCAAAGTCAAGGAAAAGTTAAACAATGCTGTTTTATTTGATAAAGCTACCCTTGATAAATGTACCAAGGAAGTTCCATCAATGAAAGTTATTACACCAGCTGTTGTTGCTGATAGAATGAAAATTACTTGTTCCCTTGCTAAAATTCTTCTTAAAGACCTTGAAAAGAAAGAATTAATCGTTCCAGTTAAAGTTGATAATCATATTTGGATCTACACTAGATCAGCTAAACACGCTGCTGCTGCTCCAACTGAAGCTGAAAAGAAACCAGCTAAGGGATCAAAGAAACAAGTTAAAGCTTAATTAATATATTGCTTTGAATTAATTTTAATTAAAAATAAGGTTGGTTTCTTTTCATTAATTTATTATAATTAGGGTTTTTATCTATGATTGAATCTCATTTTCTTTTGATTAATGATTAATATTTGTTGTTTTATTTTTTATTTTCTTTGTTGTTTTCTTCTTCCTCCTTTTAGAATAAAAGTTCATTTTCATTATCAAATGAATTTTTGGTATTTAATACTTTCATCTACTCATTGGATTCCTCCTTATATGCCGTACTGTATTATTTGTTCTGAATTATTATTTAACTTTAATTGGAGTATTTTATTTCAACAACCACTTGGCTGTGTTATGTGGTTATTTATTTATGTCCTTATTCATGAAATTGGACATATTATAATATTGTTATATCATGGGTATCCTTTTGAAATCAAACTTTCATGTTATTCAGTATCTATTCATCATAACTGTAAAGATAGAGTCATTTATTCTTCAGGGATTATGTTTTTATATCTTTTCTTAAACATTACATCAATAATATCATCTAATGACTATATAATAATTGGATTATTATTATGTTTAGTAGATTCTCTTCCATTAAAATGGATGGATGGATTTTATTGTTATTAAACCAAGTTAAATTAGTTATTTCACTGAATTACTAAATAAAGTTGACGTTGTTGCTGTAATGTCTTGTTGAAGAGAGTCAGTTAGTGGAGTATCATTTATGTCTTTTGTTTGATTTAGGGCGTGTGTTAATTGTTCCATCAACTGGTCATTTTCTTCATCAGTTCCATCTTCACTTAATGATGGACTTTTTAAGTCCTCTATAAATTCATCAAATAATTCATCAAAAGTAGTTGTGTTTATATTTCCATTCGGTAGTAAGCCGTCTGATTTAGTGACAAATCCATTAATGTCTGAGTCTATTCCAATGACATCAGTAATATCATCTTTTAAAATACTTTCTAATTCATTTTGATCAAGTATTTGTTTATAGTCTTCAATCAAATCTTCTATTTTGATTTCGTTGATATTATCTTCAATTAAAGGAGATGATATTCGTTTTGACTCTTCAGACTGACAATATTCCTTGACTATTAGTAATTTAAAAGAAAGAAGAGGAACAAACAATCAAACGTCAAAAAGTTTAGTGTATTGAGGAATAAAATGGTATTGCGATGGTTGTTGGTTTAAATTAAGTAAATGAGTAAATCCAATAAGTATCATTTTACCCAATATCTCTTGATATGATTGGGTTTCAGTATTTTGTAGTATATAATTATAATATCGATTAAATTGTAATGTTGTCATTTTAAGTTGACATTGTGACGATTTTTCATAATTTAGTGGAAACTCATCATTTAAAGTAATGTCATTATTAATGAATTTATTAATAATTATTCCAAAAAGTTCGTAATGGATATTAAGAAAATTAGCAATTTGGATTGGTAATATTCCAATAGTATTATGAACAGAGAATAGTGGGGCACGTTTAGTTATAAGACTTAAAACTTTCTTTGTTATTTCTTTATTACAACAATCATTTTGCATAAGAAATGGATTTATATACGTTAGTTCATTAAAATAAATTGACCCATTTTTAATAAATACTTTATGTGAATCATTTTCAGGAGTAATGTAATTAGGAAGATATTCTGAACATTCTGCTAATATTATTTGACCATCCTCATCAAAAACTTCAAAAATTACATTATTATTTTTACTAAATTCAATCAATTTATTAATAACAAACCATTCATCTTGTATTGAATGTTGAATATTAATTATTGATACTTTTTCTTTATACCCTTCATGTTCAATGAAGTCCATAAAATAAACAACGTCATGATCAACTTTCCATTCAATGAGGTTGTCATTATCTCCTTTTTTATAACAATGTATTTCAAGACAATTAACAATACTTTTACATTTTCTCTTATTTTCAATAAGTTGGTTAAATGTTATATTCAATTCATTCATGTTTTTATTATTATTTTAGTTCTTTTTATTGATAAAAACGAAAGTAGCATGTCTGAAACACCACACAAACCCTAGTACAATTCATGTTTTGACTCTCCCAGTTATTATTTGGTTATGGTGGTGTATTTGAATAAGAAATATGTTAGTTAATATTGCAAAATGGTGCATCAATTTATTATGGTTGAATATTAGTACTATAAGAAATGGTATTTATTAATAAAGAAATTAAGAAATATACGGATGTATTATCCAAGAAAAAGATCTACTAAAGTGTGTTTAAGACTAAAAGAAAATTAGTCATAATAATATGGTAGTAATGAAATGTTCTCTTCTCTCTTTCATAAAATAAAACAAAAAATGAGATTATTTAAAAGTAAATCAGAAATCAAACAAAAGTTTAAAAAGAAGAAGTAAGCAGGAAGAAGGTTGAAAAAACGAAAATATGAAGAAATAAAGCAAAGAAATGCTTTCTTCATTTTCTAAGAAAAACCTAAAAGATAAGTTAAACAAAAAGATTACTCTTTTAAAAAACAAGCTAAGGTATGTGATTAGTCTCCGCTAAGCTAGGAATAATAAATGAAAATTCTATTAACACTTAATTTAACTAATTTTTAATTTCTGCTTCTTTTTACTGAGTAAAAAAAAGTATTACAATTATTTAATTTCAAATAAAAAATGGTTTAATGATAATACGGTTGATTCATTCCTTGTTGCGGCGCATACCCATATTGTTGTGGAGGTGGGTTCATTGGATTATTGTATTGGCCTCTTGGTACTTGCTGATAAGGAGTATATCCTGGTTGGTTTGGTATATATCCATTTGGTGGGATGTATTGAGGTTGTTGCATTTGAGGATTAACTCCATAATTTGGTTGTTGTTGACTTCTTGGTGGAAGTTGAGGTGGTTGGTTTCTTACAGGGAGTTGAGGTGGTTGGCTATATGTTTCATTTGTTTGTTGACTTACTTGGTAAGGTATTTGAGAAGAAAATGGAGGTTGTGCAGATTCAAAGTTTTGTGGAATCTGTTGTTGTTCATAATTTCTTTTAGGTACAGGTGGAACTGTTTGATCAATACCTGAGGGTGGTGGTTGTTGATTATTTATCATTTGACATGTACGTAATGGGCCAGTAGATGGTAATGGATTATAACCAATTTCTTGAGGTAATGGTTGCGAAGGTATTTGAGGTGGGAGTTGTTGTCCTGTTGAAAGAGGCATTTGACCAGGAAAGTTTGATATGTTTTGGTTATTACTTTCTTGTTGAGCTTTTAATTGAGCTAATTGTTGAGGACTTGGTTGTAAACCAGCAAAGTCTTTATATTTCATTGGTTCCATACCCACGACATATCCTTGTTGATGGGTAAGTGGGATATAACCACATTTATAATTTAGTTGGTACTTTGACTTTGGTGTTTCTAAATAAACGTTCTTTTTAGGTTTTGAAGGATTAGAAGGATCTTCTACTTCGAGAGAAATTCCTTCAATTGAAGGAATTTCAAACCCATCACTTTCAGATTGAATTGGAACATTACCAACAGGTTGTTCAATGTATTGAGGTGGGGGAGTATTTATACAAGGTTGTAAAGGAATTTGTTCTATACCAACAGGGATATTATAGTAGTCTGGATTTATACTTCTCAAACGTTGGAGAAGGATACTAACTCTTCCACCATCATCTAAACTAATATTTAGAGTTGATTTTATTTCAACATTTGATAACTTAAATTTTCCTTTTCCAACTATTGCCCCTTCACGAGAGAATAATGCAGGGTTTTTATTTAAAATTTCAAGGTCACAAAAAGCACCTTCTTGATAAGTGATAAGATAAGATTGATTAAAAATGACAGTTTCCTTTGGACAGTCAAGATAATAAGTAGAATAAACAGAATCATTAAGAGTAAAACTACAATATGGATAAAATTTTTTTTGACTCATTAATGATAAATCAGAAGCAGAAAGGATAGTTAACAGATATTTTCCTTGATAACTAACATTTTTAGGAATTAAACTATTATTTAAATTCCAATAAATACTTCTTAAACAAGTAATATTTACATCAATTACTCCTGATGGTAATATTGGAGCAAGATATTCAATTGACTCAGTCTCAAATAAATCTGGAACTTCAAAAGTAGTTGTTCCTAATGAATATGATTTATCTCTACTTGGTTTAGCAAATACTTCAAACTGAATTTGATCACCAACAGTAGTTTCGACATAAAGAATTTGATTAAGTAATGTATTTGTACAATCAGTTTTACCACTAGGAGTTATTGGAACTAGTGTTTGAATGTCAGTAGAATTACTCTTAACACTAACAGTAAACTGATATCCTTTAGAAGAGACTTTCTTTGATATTTTATAAAAACTATCAAGTAATCCATAGAGTTTATTGAATTTTAATTCCAATAACATTTTAGCATTTGGATCGATCATTTGTCTAGTAATTTGACAACCTCCAGAAATACATTTTGCAATGATATATAAATATCCTTTTACATCTATTTTTAGAATGTGATAAGTAGTTTCTCCATTATTCATTGCTGGTACTTTCCATTCTGCTTTTCCAAGTGGATCATCACTCCCAACTGTATCATGATCAAATACCTCAAATACTACAACCTCTCCGATGTTATATTTAACATCAAATTTCTTATTCCAAATTGGATCAAGTGTACAATCAATAATTTGTGTTTTTAATTTTTTACCTTCAGAGGTAAATACTACATATGGATCTGATGTATAAACATCTCCAATTTCTACATTTTTAGCACAAAATATGTTAAGTTCAATTTGCATGTAATCTATAAATTTTTTTAGTTCTACAATGGAATAAATTGATATGAAGAAAAAAAACGAAAATGTTTAATTCCTCATTTAAAATTTTACAAATTAAAAAAAAAAAAAAGAACTACAAATTAAAAAACAAAAATGTTTCCAAATATAGATTTAGGGAAATTACCACCAAAAAGTGATGATATTGATGAAATGTTAGAAATTGAACATGAAATGATAGTTAATGCACTCACATATTTTCCAAATTCTTTTAATTTTAATATTGAACCTAATTCAGAAAAACACACAATAACAATTAAAGGGTCATATTGGGACGTTGGATGTAAAATTGGTTTAACCGTTTGTGGATGGAAAAATGGTTTTTACAAAGACTGCTTGTTTTCTCCTGACGAATCAAATTTCGAAAAGACATTTTCTTATATTGAAGATGGATATTACGATGCATTAATAATTAAAGACGATCTCATTAAAAGAAAAGAAGCTGTTTATATTGGAAAACCAATTAAATTTAAAGTAACTCAATGTTTAATTGATGCAGTTGACATAGAACTTGAACGAGCAAAAGAAACTAGTTGTATTGTTATTTATCAAGACTCAACAATTATTAAAACAAAAAGAGTTCTTGTTGGAACAACAAAACTTAGAATAAAATTAAATAAAAAACATAACACTAAACATATTTATGTCTTTAAATATTACCAAAATTGCTTTACTCGTATTGATAAAGATGTCCCATATAATGCATTAGAAATAATAACTCTCTAAATTGTATTTGTAGTATCGTTTTCTTTCTTTATTTTCTCCTTCAAAATAAAATAATTCAGTGTGGAAGAATGAAGTAATTCTTAAATAACAATAATCATAAAACAAAATAAATTACCAAATAGATAATGAAATGTTAATAAAATTGTCATTTATTCCTTAATTAATGGATGTTAATGACATAATATATCATTAAAATGAGTATTTTATATGTTTTATTTATTAATAATTTTTTTATTGTTTTTTCATTCTTCTTTCTGTTTATTTTTATTTGATTTTTTAATGATTTTTATCTGAATTTTAATG